GTTAATGATAAAAGAAACACAGAAATCCTGCATCTACGATGTCAATGGACACCTTGACATTCTCTTATCTCACTGTATTTACCGTCTATCTAACTAAGAAATTCCCTTCTCATATTGTGGTTAACACATATGGAGGCTCTAATTTTGTCTGACATAGGCATCCTGAGCCTGGAAGGGAGGGATGGGTGAGAGGCAATTAATGTGAAGATCTAAGAGCTCCTTTGTTTACCTGTCTTTGGGCTCATTTTCACAATGAGCTACCATGCTTATCTCTATATGCAGGTTCCAGAAGCTTTCAGAGAAATGAACATGTACATGCAGCCTGATTTTGTTTGTCTTTCTTTTTCTTTTTTAATTTTAGGCAATTGTGATTAAGTGACTTGCCCGGGGTCACACAGCTAGTAAATGCCAAGTGTTTGTTCTGAGGCCAGATTTGAATTCAGGTCCTCCTGACTTGAGGGTCGGTGTTCTATCCACTGCACCACCTAGCTCCCCCAGTTTGTCTTTCTTAGAATGACCTCAGTAATAGCTAGCTGACAAAGCATAAGTCTGAAGTCTTAAAGAAAGCAGTTGGGGAATGGCTGACTAAATTAGAGTCTACAATAGTAGTATACGGTGAAAAAGCTGGTTGCAGAGAAACCACAGAAAGTTATAAAAATGTACTGATGCAAAGTGACGTGAAAAGACCAGGAGAACAAGTGATTGAGTAATGACAACACTAGGCCTGGTACATTGCCATGTATGGTGGCCCAAGCTTGTCATCCCTCCTACAGGGAGGCTGAGGCTGGTGCATTGCTTGAGGTCAGAAGTTAGGAGCAGCAGCTGGGCTGTGGCCAGATCCGGTGTCCAGACCAAGAATGGCAGCAACAGAAGGCCTGGCCTCTTCCCCCCAGGAAGCTGCCCACAGACATGTCAACTGGCCCAGATCAGAAAGAGAGCACAACAAAGTTTCCATGGCAATCAACAGTGGGATCCAGCCTGTGAGCAGCTGGTGTATTTCCAGCCAGTGTAGATAGGGAGATCTACTCCTATAACAATTGGGGAGGGGAAGATGTCAGGATTTCTGTCCAGAGCAGGAACAACTGCTACGTACACTCCCTTTGAGCTATGAGATCCCAAACAGAGAGGCTTGGGCTGGGAGTTATTATTGGCCAATCAGTGAGAGCCAGAGTGTTGAGGATTGAAATCATAGTGAAGTCTCCCCATTTGAATCTGAATGGGCTTTATCAAAGCCTGGGTTTCCAGAACTCAGTCACAAGCATGTTATATTTCTTTAGTCAGAGCCCTCAAATGCAAGCGTATGATTCCCCACTGAGAGGAAGAGAGGAAGAAAGAAATTGAGGAAGAAAGGAAGGAATGAGGGAAGGAGCATGGCCTAAGTGGAGCTGCACAGTTGGTCCCCAGTGGGGCAGCTCCTCCCCTCACAGATTGCTGCTCATCCTTTGTTCTTGAAGAGACTAATGACAGCAGGAAGGTAAGGTTCAACTTGGAGGAAACTGGCCGCACCCCATCAGCATTGATTCAGATTCCTCAGGTCTCTCTGGCCAGGCCAAACCCTTTTGCTAACTTGGATTACAGGTGATTTCAAAGTGTGTAAATTTATGCATCGTCTGGAAATCACAGGAGATGGAATGCTTAGGGTAGTTTTAACCTTTTTTTGGGTAGTTTTATCTTTAATAAGCTCAAAAATGGAGACTTTTCAGCTCTTAAGGAAGTGGAGAGAAAAAGTTACTCAGAGCTGAGAACTGCACCACGTGTCTTTCTAAGAAATCTATGAATTTATGGTAATATTTCCTTTCAAAGGGCTAAGAGTACTGGACTTTTAAAAAGACTTTTAAATGTTTATCGTTAGCAAATGTTTTGATTTAAGTCTATTTACCTCGGTTTACTGTTCTGTAAGAGTAATAGTGGAAGTCACTTTTGAGAGAAGTTATGAGGATCACATGATTGTAAATAACTGGCAATGCTAGACAACATAATATTATCTCTCTAATTTAAAGTAATTGCTGCACACCTGATAACTTTGAAGTAGTTTTGAAATACCAAAAGTAATAAGATCAATAACTTCTATATGTGATAATCACAAAATGCAATCATTTGAAGTTTATTATTGGTGTTATTACTGTATTTCTCAATTTTTAATTTAGATTTTGTTGCATAGGAATTGGGCCTTTTAAAAAGAAAGGGATGTAATCAAATCTTTTTGAAAACTTAACATTTAATCAAGTATATTTGGTTACAATCAAGTAATAATACCATTACTAATACTAATATTTACTATGAAAGAAGATTTTCCATTTGAAATCTTGCCTATTATGAAAATCTATAAGGTGGTTGCAGGTTGTAGTTTCAAGATAAGAATGATGAGATGAATGATTCTCTGTGCAAGGTGATTTAGAAATGCGTTTACCTAAATTGATAATGGCGGCCTTAAGTTTTAAGTACATGATAATGTGCAGGGTATTGTTACATTTCTAAATGGTGCAATGAGGTAAAAGATTGTATCACCTTTGCTGTTAAAAAACAATTTCTGTTATACTCTAGATGTTATTAGATTAAGCATTGTGCTGTCAGAGAAAAGTAGAAAAAATGAATGGGTTAGGAAGGTCTTAAGTCATTCTATCAGACCATGTATTGTAACGTTTTTGAAGTATTATAATTTAAGAAATTGAACTTCCATGTTTTGTCTATATTTAAAGGGAAGTTTCAGCTGAAATTATTAAGTTCTCATTTATGAACATTAAGATTGTTAACTAAGTTATTTGAAGCTATTATTTAAATCAAGTATTTCCACAAGTATTTTTGTGAAAGGAAACATGGTAATTGTGCAAAGAAAGGACCTTATGAAATCTCCTTGTAATTAATTTATTCCGGTATAGTAAGAGGATAAATTGTAAGCTCTTTTCAAGAAAGGGAAATACTTTTATGAAGAAATGTTTTGGAAAATCTTTTGTGTGATTTTTAGAAGGCCATTTCGAAGCCAACTTGTTGCAGTAATAATTTGATACTGATGAAAATTATGTCGAAACCTCGTGTGAATTTCATTCCTAGATTTGTTGTGTCCTTGGAATGGCCTTAATAGATGTTTTCTGAAAAATGCAGTGGGAGTCAGCAGGTCAATGGGAGCAGCATGTAGTGAGCTGTAAATGGGGAAGATCTTGCTGTTTTGATCTGAATTCATTCCATGGCCTAAAGAAGAGTTCAGAATGAGTGTTTGAACTTATCATATGTATAAGATTCAATTCCTGAAGTATTTCATGATATTTAAGGAGGAACATGTGTAGGAATGCATGCAAACTACTTCAGGCCCACTTTAAAGATGTTCCCTAACCAATGTGAGATCATAGTCACCTCTGAAACTGATTAGGGAACTTGCAATTCACGACCTTATGGGAGTGATAACTGACTTTATTCTGAGTGTAACTTCAGGTGTGGTTATCAAGATGAGCCACTGACTCATGATGCCAGCAACCCTGTAGGGAGGGGTTAGTGGGTCTGTGAACTGCACGTATAAAGTGCAGAGGGTGCTGTCATGGGAAGGTTGGGAGGATGATTATTCTGCATGAGCTGAAGTAGGGTTCTCCTGACTCCCTTTGCCCACTATGACACCTGGCAGACTTTAAGCCTGGCTCAATGCAGTTGGTCATTATATAACATCTGTCTGGAATTGGCATGAAGTTAGGGAAACATTGTTCCCTTACTTTAATTGTTTGTCCCTTTTCTTTTATGGTCCATTTCTGAAATAAAAGTTTGTAACCAGCTTGTGAAATCCATTTAATACTAGCTTGGTGCTGGAACATCTGAGGTTATTATAGTAAGATGCAAGTAAAAGATTGAGGTACTTTTAGGGCACCTTTTCTAGCCCCTTCCTCACACCAGGAGGTGAGCAGTGTGGTCCTTCACAAAGGCTGCTCAGACACCCGGGGGGCTGCTGAATCCCACTGCTGCTTCCAGTGAGAAGACAACCCTATGCCTAGGTGACGTCTTTTGATTCATGTGGTAATTTTGTTGAAGTGAGGCAGAGCTGTAGGAAGTAGTCAATCTCACTGTCTTCCAGAGTGATCAGAGTCTAGTGGCAGGACAGAGTCAAGATGACTGGTGATGGCTGAACATGCAGGGGGTAACCTTGGCGTTTTCCATGTCTAACCAAGCTCTAAGTGCTCCACAGCCCCTGCTTCAGCCCCTTTGTGGCCATTGTAACAGATTGTTCTCATCTGCCATTCCACAAACGGACGTCTTCACAGGCTTTGGTTAGACATCCCGTTAATTCACCAGTGGGATTGAGACCCCCTTGGTTACCTTCAATCAGGTTACCTATGTGTGTATGTTTGTGTGTATGAATGTGTGTCCGACTGCTTTGATCCCCTTTATTACTTGTATACTTGTGGTCATGCATGCTAATTCCTCTCCCCCCTCTCTGATAGGGCTCCAGTGCTGCTGCTGCTCTGTCCAGGCCCTGCTCCCGATCATGGGGAGGGCAGTATCCTGGCCCTACAGGAATAGGGATAGCAGGCCTGTTATCCTCAAATCAGGTTCTCAGGCATCTATCTCTGCAGATGGGAGTCATGAATAATTGCACAGCGCCAGTGAGTTGCCAGGGTGAGGAGAAAGACTGGATCCATCCTATAGATGAGGTTGCCTCAAGAACTTCAGGGACTGTTCCACACACCTTGTCTATCCTGCCTGGGGAAAAACAGACAGAGCTGAGAGTCCAGGTCCATTCCCCTGCATTGTCTATAGTTTCCTCTTCAGAAGCCAATCAGGTCTCTGGACTTAGGATTGCGAGCAGAGGACAGAGTAAGAATGAGAAGCAGACGACATGGGAAGATTTGTGGTCCTTGGCTAAAGCCTACCAGGCAGAAGATTCTTTCTCTTCCTCTTTGTCTTTCTTCTTAGTCTTTCTACCTCAACCGGGGTCTCTTTGACAAATGGCTCCTGCAGCAGGACTGAATTCGGCCCATTTCTCCCCTGAGGGCGATGGTTTTCTCAAGCCTGTGACTATGGGGAAGCAGCTGCTACGCTTGTTGAAGGGCTGAGCAGCCTGGAGGTTTTTGTTCAGGGCTGAAACACTGTGGGAATGCATAATTATAATCTGCAAAACAGTAGTAACCTGCCATGTCCTCAGCCTCCACTGCACTGATGGTGAGGGTGAAATCTCTCCCAGAGCCACTGCCACTAAACCGGTCAGGGACCCCAGACTGCAGGGTGGAAGCATGATAGATCAGGAGCCTGGGAGACTGTCCTGGTTTCTGCTGGTACCAGGACAGGTACTTGCTAATGCTGGAACTGGCCTTGCAGCTGATGGTGACTTGGTCTCCTGCAGCCACAGACAGGGAGGCTGGGGACTGGGTCAGCTCAATGGCTGCCTGGGATTCTAAAGGACAAGAAGACAGAGATTTCAGTGAATGAAGAATCCTGTGTAGAGACAGCGAATGCTGGAGTAGTTCCCTAACCCTCAGGTTGTGTCAGAGATGCCCACTGGAAAACTCCTTCTGTCTCTAAAGTGATGCCAAACTATGGGTCATTGGAAGTCTTACCTGGAGGCCAGAGCAGTAGGATCCAGAGGAGCAAGGACTGGGAGAGCATTGTGACTCTGGCAGAGCTGGAGGCAGAGAGCTCTGAGCTCAGAGGGCGACAGGTGGGAGATATTTGTATCTCAGACTGGGTTTGAGAAGGTGCCTTGGATATCAGCATGCAAAGCAGTGGTGGCCCAGCCTGAAGTGAAGGGCCCCAGGAGTGGTTATATGCACATGGAGGGAGTGGCCGAATTGCAGTTACTTGAAAGTGAGACTTCCTGTGGCCCTTCTTTTTATTGCTGTATTAAATGTACATGCCTCAGGATGTACATGGTGGTGGCTGTGGCAGGTGGCCAGTTGTGGTTATAAGCAGCGGAAGCCTATCTACCTTCCAAGGAGAGATGACATGACTCTGGGTCTAGAGACCAAGAGTAGATAAGTGTCTATGCAAAGGACAAAATTAAAAAAGAAAGAGAGGAGCTGACTTAGAAAGAAAACTAAGACCAGGAACCAACAAAATTTAAGGAGATTTAAGGGCCCAGGTTTAGATGAAATGGAGATGGAGGACACTTGGAGATTCCCTGGTCTACTTGGTGTTGTGGGGTGAATGTGTCCCTGGAATTTTGTTGGATGTGGGGAGAGAGAATATATTTCTTCTTCTCTTCTCTATTTATGTTATATCTTTCTAAAAGCTAAGAATAAAAAAAAGGATACCCGTTTCAAACTTTCATTTTGTAGTTGAGGAAACTGAGGCCAAAAGGGGTGAAATTGTTATTCAGGTGCCTTTTTCATCTTCTTTGCTCTACTCAGAAAGCTGTCACCATGTATCAGGCCCTCATCATCTCAAGGGTGGACTCTTGCCATGGCCATCTTGTTAGTTTTATGCCTCCACTCTCTCCCTGCTCCAGCCAATGCTGCACTCAGTTGTTAAATTGATCATCTGAGAGAGCAGGTCTCACCGCATCACCTCCCTACTCCAGAAACTCAGTCCCTCTGTATTACCTCCACGACTGAATAAAAAATCCTTTAAATCCATTCAGACTTTGGTCAATTCCTCCCTTTCCTATTTCCTCACACTCTATCCCCTTCCAAGCACCCCATGATCTTGTGACACAGGCCTTCTCTCTTTCTCATAAAGGACCCTCCTCTGTCTCTGTGCCCCTTCAGTGCTGTCCCACGTGCCTGGAATGCTCTTCTTCCTCACTGCCACTTCCTGGCTTCACGTCCTTCATGTTTGCTCTGAAACAAACCTGTGGGGAAACTTCCAGTGATATTTTCTTGCTACTATGATCTCCCCAAGAAGTCTTTTCTCTAATGCCCATACCTCATGCTGGACAGAGCAGTGTCTGTGGCAGGTCTGACTGAGTGTGCTTTTCAGTTTAAAGTTTTTAATATTAAACTTAAACACTAAGAGAAGAACATTTCCGTAACTGCAGCAGAACACAGAAAGAGGATTCTGTGTGAAACTATGAACCTCTCTTTCACACAGCTTGCAAAAGAATAGAATAAAGTCCATCCCTGTCACTGTAAACTGTCCTGCTTATCTATACATCCTTTTGTTCTTTTCTGTGCATTTAAGCAGATGATTCAATGCTCTACTATTTTCTCCTCTCATGATTGCTCTTACCTCATTCCGGAATTAAAAACTGAGAAGAAATAAAGAAAACACATCCCCTGTAACATACAAGCACAGTCCAGCAGAATGACTCTAGACAGTGTCAGAGTCCACTTTCTGCATCTGTTGTCCCTCCTACCTTTGTCAGGTGGTTAACACTTCTTCTCTGAGTTCTTCTAAAGACATGGTTCAGAGTTGTTTGTTTTCACCATGAGGATGTCCTCATACTCTCTGAAACTGGACTTTGCAGCTGATTTTGACTGTCTCTTGGAGGAAGTGATTGGACAAAGTAATCACAAAAGTATAATATGATATATTTCTAATGAAATAGGATAACAAATGTTGAGAGAAAAGTAACAAGATTGACTGTTTCCTCTAAGAATTATATACAGGTCTATATCATTGGCTTCCAAAATTTATCTATCATGGAAATTCAGGCTTTAGGCATGCTTTGGTAATAAATTTTCAAATTTGTATTTTCATTATGAAAGTAACTGTCTGATATTTTTAAAAGGCAGAAGAGCTCATTTTATGTTGGACCCTCAGATAGTAAAAGATTCTTATACCAGATATAGGATGTAGGTAAGCACAGAGACAGCAAATGGTATATAAAGTGAAATTCTCTGAAGTTTCAAAGTTGGAGAACCAAATTTAAGTGATTGTAGTAACTTATGCTAAGTCAGAATTATCTAGGAACTTCTAAATCTGAACCAGAGAAGCAGAACTCCCCTTTAGAATACTCTTGAGAATAAAACTTGTCCAAGAAAGATATCTAGAGACCAGATAACTATATGAGACATTTGGGACTAAAAGGTACTGATTAAATGAACATTGAGAATAGATTCCTGGGATACAAGGAGACCAAATGTTAGTTAACATTGGTAATAATATATGGTTTATGTTTATATTTTCTTGGTTACCTTGGTGACATGTAAATTTCCCTTACCAAAAGTAGTCTATTGTGAGTCCTCTGAGTGGTTTAATCTATTCCTGACTTCAGCTAATTATGCAATTATGGGTATTGTGAGAAAAACTTTGTTATATTGTTTGAACCTGCACCATGTTTATGTGTCTTTAAAGAAGGACCTACATTCTGCTATTTATTCTCAATTGCCAACTCATATGTCTTCTAAGAGCCTGTCAGGCCTTTCTGAGTACTCCCACAGCTGCCACGTTGTGGATGTGGACTCCTGGATCATCTGAAGGCACCAGCTACAAGTGGACATCTCTTCCCACTCCCTGAGGAAGAGTGAAGTCTTCCCTATGACTTCCTTGGCCTGCAGTTGGCACCTAAGGAGGGAGATGTGAACCATTTTTCAGCCTCCCAAGACCTGAGAAAGTCCTAAAAAGTAGATTGGACAGTCAGGAGAAAGACATTTTTGGCTACTCTGAGCTTAACCTACCATAATGCTTTGCATGATCTGGCACAACAGACATGCTTTGTTTTGCTCTCTGAGTGCAACTAAAATGCTCCTTCCTGTGTTAGCAACTAATTACAAGGCTAGATGAAACTGATCCTGAGCATTCTTCTGTTTGTGACTCCCAAGGGCAGGATGCTTTGAACTGGACGCTCTCTTGAAGGATGAGACTTTTTCTTATGTTGGTAATTTATGGACACACGTTATACTATGTTATGCTATATGTATTCATGTTAATGAGAAAAGAAACACAGAAATCCTGCATCTATAATGTCAATGGACACCTTGACATTCTCTTAGTCTTATTGCATTTACAATCGATGCAATTAAGAAATTCCTTCCTCATATTATGGTTAACACCTATGAAGACTCTAATTTTGGCTGACATAGGCATCCTGAGGCAGGAAGGAAGGGAAGGGTGAGGAGGAATTACTCTGAAGATCTAATAGCCCTTTTGTCTATCCATCCTTGGGCTCATTTTCACAGTGAACTCTCATGCTTATCTCTGTATGCATATTTCACAAACTTTGTGAGAAATAAACATGTACATGCAGCCGGATTTTGTTTGTCTTTGTTTTTCTTTTTCACGTTCTTTTTAGGTAACTGCAGATAAGTGAGTTGCCCAGGGTCACACAGCTAGCAAGTGTCAAGTGTGTAGTCTGAGGGCAGGTTTGAACTCAGGTCCTCCTGACTTCAGGGTCGGTGCTCTCTCCACTGTGTCCCCTAGCTGCCCCTGTTTGTCTTCTTAGAATGAACTCAGTAATGGCTGACAAAACATAAGTCTGAAGTCTTTAAAGAAAGCAGTTGGGGAATGGCTGACTAAATTATGATCTACAATAGTAGTACACTGTGAAAAAGCTGGTTTCAGAGAAACCAGAGAAATTTATAAATATGTGCTGATGTAGAATGACATAAAAAGACCAGGAGATCAAATGATTGAGTAGTAACAACAGTAGGCCTGGTACCTAGGCCATGCATGGTGGCCCAAGCTTGTCATCCCTGCTACCAGGGAGGCTGAGGCTGGTGCATTGCTTGAGCCTAGAAGTTAGGAGCAGCAGCTGGGCTGTGGCCAGATCCGGTGTCCAGACCAAGTCTGGCACCAATAGCAGCCCTGGCCTCTTCCTCCCCAGGAGACTGCCTAAAGACCTGCCAACTGGTCCAGATCAGAAACAGAGCACCTCAAAGCTTTCGTGTCAATCAGCAGTGGGATCCAGCCTGTGAGCAGCTGTTGTATTTCTAGCCAGTTGAGATAGGGAGATCTAGGCCCAAAACAATTTAGGAGTGGAAGATCTCTGGGTTTCTGTCCAGAGCAAGAATAATTGCTATTTACACTCCTTTTGGGCCTTCAAATCCCAAACAGTGACCCAGAGAAGCTTGAGCTGGGACTTAATATTGGCCAATCAGTGAGAGCGAGAGTTTTGTATACTGAAATTATAGTGAAGTATCTCCATTTGTATCTGAATGGGCTTTATCAAAGCCTGGTTTTCTAGAGTTCAGTCTCAAGGAACTTATATTCCTTTGGTCAGAGGCCCCAAATGCAAGTGTATGATGCCCCATTGGGAGGAAGAGGAGAAGAAAGAAATTGAGGAAGAAAGGAAGGAATGAAGGAAGGAGCATTGCCCAACTGAAACTGAACTGTTGGGTCCCCAGTGAGGCAGCTATTACTTCTCACAGACTATTTTTTTCCTTCATTCTTTTTTTAACAAAATTATTTATTTTTAGTTTTCAATATTCACTTTTATAAGGTTTTGAGCTCTAAATTTTTCAATCAGTTCACAACTCCACCAACAATGTATTAGTATTCCACTTTTCCCACATTTATCTAGCATTTATCATTTTCTTGTTTTGTCATGTCAGCCAATCTGATAGGTGTGATGTGGTGCTTTAGAGTTTTTTTTATGTGCATTTCTCTAATCATTAATGATTTAGAGCTTTTTTATATGCTATATCTAGCTTTAATTTCTTCACCTGAAAACTGCCTAATTCATATTCTTTGACCTTTTATCAGTTGGAGAATGAATTGTATTCTTATCAATGTGACACAGTTCTGTAAATGTTTAAGAAATGAGGCTGTTATCAGAGACACTGGCTTCCAAATTGTTTCCCAGCCTTCTGCTTCCCTTGTAATCTTGCTTGCATTGCCTTTCTCCAAAACCTTTTTAACTAAATGTAATCAAAATTTCCCATTTT